CAAAAGAGAAGTACAGCCTGGCCAGATGTGCTTTCTTCTTTAACTGAGAACTGTGAAGCTACTGGAGATTTCCGTTGTTTACCATCAAGACGACATCCCTTCAAAATAAGAGCACCACTAGCTGATGCTGCCGATGCTACCGGGGTCGGCCCTTCAGACGGGCTTTGACGTGCTGTGACCGCTGCTTCAACCAGCTCCAGTACACATCTGAGGTCCTAGGACCTGGCATTTCCTGATCTACCTGGGAGACTCCACAGGGTACGTACACGGCAAAATAGCTGCTCATGTCATCAGCTTCCGAAGCCTCGTGGTCCGTAGTCATAACAACCAGATACGCTCCGTCAGCCTAAAGATCCTGAACAACACACACACACACGCACCAACACAACATCCAAATCCATTTTCATCCATCACCGAGTTAGTCCTGGTAGATTGTTAAGAATTTATAATTAAGAAATTAAAGATTCTTAAACGATCCCAACTCTCTCTCTTTTCTTGTCTCAAAGTCAATACAGAGTGTTTAATTAAACCCCCTGATGATAAAAACAGCCCATCTTCTGATTATAAAACTAGATCTACTTACAGTATATTAAAATACAACTCTAGATCGTTACATCACTCTATTTCACTACATTTGGCGAGCCAGCCAGGAGACATATTTTGGGATTTTTGTCCAGTGTGTGAGTTCAGGGAGAGGAAAAAAGCGAGCATTTTCCTCATTCAGCTTCTCAGAAAAGGGGGGTGCACATTCATCACCCTCCGACAGGAGGCGCTGTTTCATCAAAACACCTTGAGTGCTGACGTGTGCTAACGGCCATTTTGGGCCTACATTTGAGGGTAAACATTTCTCCTGTTTTAATACGTTGGAACCGTCTGTTTATTGTTTGTCGCGGTGTTTGTGACACTGTGTGCATCCATTTGTGTAATCGGAGACAGAAAGCTCCGTCGGAATTTTTTTTCCGTCCAGAAGACGCCTGATCAGCGTCAATTTTTCCCGGTAGACTCGTGAACAACTACCGTAGCTTCACCTGCTAGGTAACCGCTGTAATTCGGGTTATATTTACCGGAGGCGTTACTGCATCCAGTTTGCGTATGCTTTTAAAGTCCGTTTTAGCCGCGGAGCGAGATGCCTGCTTGGCTAATCGGACAAATTTAAGTCTGGTCGCTACAGACGAAAAGCTACTTAGCCAAAGAGCTAACTAGCCACTCTCGGTAAGACGCTTGGGAACGCGTCCCGCGAAACTGTCAAGCCGTTCCGACGCAGCGATTCTGCGTCCTTAAACCCGCTAAACCTTCCGGTACGGAGTACTTGTGGATAACGTTAGCGGCGGTTCGAATAAATGCTCCGGTGTTTAGAATCGTGATTCTGCTCCTGGGAATACAACGCCGGGTGCCGGACTGCGCATGCGCAACAATCCGCCATCTTAGGTGCCCGACACGTAGCTCGACCGGCCATCTTGGACAGGTCAAAAGGACAATGATATTTTTGGCAGTATTGAACAATTTTGCCCAAAATATTCATTCAACAGCCAAGCTTCCCTGTAACTAATTCTTTAATAAAGAGAAAGAGTAAAACATCATCTGCAAAAAGACTGATCTTATGTTCTATTTTCTTACACTTTATCCCTTTAATATCTGTTGTTTGCCTAATTGCTGCTGCTAGTGGTTCGATAAAGATAGCAAACAGTGAGGGGGAGAGTGGGCATCCCTGCCTGGTCCCCCTCTGAAGACAGAAGCTAGCTGATATTTGGTCATTCGTCCTGACACGTGCTGTTGGTGAACTGTATAATGTTTGTAGCCAGTTTATGAAGAAGTTCCCAAAACCAAATTTATGTAAAGTTGCAAATAAGAACTTCCAGTTAACTCTATCAAAAGCCTTTTCTGCATCTAGAGATAATATACTAGTTTCTATGTTTCTACTGTAAGAGAAATCTATCAAATTAAGTAATCTACGTGAGTTTGTGGATGACTGTCTACCCTTAATGAAACCAGTTTGGTCAGGGTGTATTATGAAGGGGGTTACCTTCTCTAATCTTTTGGCCAGGGCTTTACAAATTATTTTGAGATCAACATTAATAAGAGAAATTGGGCGATAGCTGGTAGGAAATGCAGGGTCTTTGCCTGGTTTTAACAAGAGACTAATATTGGCTGAGTTCATGTTTGGCTGTAATCTGCCGCTCTCTTCGATTTCCCTCACCATTCTGAAGAATGTTGGAGCCAGAATGATCCAGAATTCTTTGTAGAACTCTACTGGGAACCCGTCTGGACCTGGAGCTTTCCTATTAGTCATGGATTTAAGGGCCTCCTGGAGCTCCGCTGATGTTAGTGGCGAGTCCAGGACTGTAACTTGGCTGTCTGATAATTTAGGAAGTGTTATCCTGTCAAGGAACTCATCGATCTCGTTATCTGATGGGTTTATCTGTGGTGAGTACAAAGTTTGTAAAAGTCTCTGAAAGTGTTGTTTATTCTTTCAGGGTCATAAACTATATTCCCGGTTGAGTCTTTAACAGCAGATATTTTCTCAGAATTCTTAATCCAGTCTCAGGATTCTGACTATAATCTCACACTTCTGACTTTTTTTTTTCAAAATTCTGACTGCAATCTCAGAATTCTTACTTTAACCTCAGAAATGTGTTTTTTTTTTCTCAGATTTTTGACTTTAGAATTATGAAAAAATAAGTCAGGATTCTTACTTTAATCACAGAATGCAGACTTTTTTCTCAGTATTGTGACGTAAATTTCAAAATTCTGATATTAAACTCAGAATTCTGAGGAAAAAAGGTCTGACATCTATATAAATATTCTTTTTTCTTTTCAGTGGCCCTAATCCTCCTCTGTAATCCCATGACACCACCTTATGGTTCTGTCTTGTCCTGAATGTTTCAGAAAGACTAATTTAAGTGAAAGAAAATTTGATTTAAAATATCTCAGGGTTCTCATTTATGAAATTTGTTTTACTCACAAAATATGCTCTGAAAAATTATGTAAGTCACTTTCTACGAAAACATTTTGATGGATGATATCAAATGTGACAGAAAAATGGACACACCTTTATGCCAACCCTGAACCTCTGCAAGCTCAGTTTCTAGGCGAGGACACCGACAGAGCGGCCGGTGAGATGCTAATGTCATCTAAGCCACAGTTACACACACACACACACACACACACACACACACACGGCTGTCGAAGCACAATGCGGCTTGAGTGGTCGCAGAGGCAAAAACCCGAGCATAGATGGGGTTCGGTGAGACCATAGAGCAAGACTTTCGTATGACTTTAAGGAAATTCTGGTCCACCATCCGGCATCTGAGGAGGGGAAAGCAGTGTGCAACTAACACAGTATTACAGTTTACAGTGGCTGGGATGAGAATCAGCTCCTCTAAATATGAGACCATGGTCTTTACTCGGAAAAGGGTAGAATGCCATCTCCAGGTCAGGGATGAGGTCCTTCCCCAAGTGGAGGAGTTTAAGTATCTCGGGGTCTTGTTCACAAGTGAGGGAAAACTGGAGCGTGAGATCGATAGGTGGATTGGTGCTGCGTCTGCAGTGATGCAGGCGTTGTACCGGTCTGTCGTGGTGAAGAGAGAGCTGAGTCAGAAAGCAAAGCTCTCGATTTACCGGTCCATCTACGTTCCTACCCTCACCTATGGTCATGAGCTTTGGGTAGTGACAGAAAGAACGAGATTGCAGATATAAATTCAAATTCAAATTCAAAGATACTTTATTAATCCCAGAGGGACATTAGAGTTTCAGTACACACAATTCTGAGATCGGACATACATTCATAGGCAAATACACACGACAAGAACTGGTAATTGTGGTCATTCGCAACCCGAGTCGCGCCACCTTAATAGAGATCAGAGGGTTTACATGAGGAATGGGTCAGTTGGAGGGAAAAAAGGCACTTCAGAGTTACCCTCCACAGAGAGGGCAGCTTTGCTCTGCAAAAAACACCTCAGACAGAAATGCAACACAGTCAGTTATTCACCCATTCACACACACACACACTGGTGGGGATGAGCTACGATGTAGCCACAGCTGCCCTGGGGCGCACTGACTGAGGTGAGGCTGCCGAGCACTGGCGCCACCGGTCTCTCTGACCACCAGCAGCAGGCAAGATGGGTTAAGTGTCTTACCCTAGGACTCGAACCTGCAACCTTCCGGTTACGGGGTGAGCACTTGACTCCTGTGCCACCGTTGCCCCAACATGGGAAAACATTAAACAGATTTTATGGGGCCCCGGTGTCACTGCTAAAAAATTAATGACTGTGTGTACTTTGTTGTACTGTCAGAATACTTACCCCTAGTTCTAGTACATGACTCTGTGGTTTGAAGGAGCCAGGATGGGTAAAAGTTACATTTCTCATTGAACACCGCCCTCAATGGCAGCAGCAACATGCTCTAAAGCAGTGCATGCCTCTGGTCCCAGATTTTGTTGTAGCTGTTCTGCATGTCCTAGGTAATGTTCTGCAGCTGTGCTGCTGCCATGCACAACGGAGTTCAGGAGAAACACCTTTTTATGGGTAAATCTCATGCGTAAGGTTCTAATTCAGATAACTGACCTCATTTCCTGACACTTACACTGTTTGGATTTGTTTTTGGTCTAGAACATGGTGACAGCAGTAGCTCAGGAGGTTGAGCGGGTTGTCCAGTTATCAGAAGGTTGCAGGTTCCATCCCCGCTCCAACCAGAGAATTCTGCGGTTGTGTCCTTGGGCAAGACACTTAACGCACCTTGCCTGCTGGTGGTGGTCGGAGGGACCAGTGGTGCCTGTGCTCTGCAGCCTCGCCTCTGTCAGTGCGCCCCAGGGCAGCTGTGGCTACATTGCAGCTCGATACCACCAGTGTGTGAATGTGTGTGTGAATGGATGAATGACTCAATGTGTTGTGAAGTGCCTTGGGGGTGGTAGAACCCTAAGAAGGTGCTAGAGAAATGCAAGCCAGTTACCATTTACAAAAGTTCTGAGGTTGTTAGTAGACTGAGTCAAAGGGTTTCAGTACCATTAGTGTCTCTGATGTCCACCGTGGCCTGGGTCTCCAGCAGCAGAGACAGCAGCTCCGTGGTTCCTGTCAGAGCAGCGTGGTGCAGCGCTGCGACACTGTGGGCGGAGCACAGACAGACTTCAGATATGATGTTTAACCTGTGAAATCATGCAGGGGGGTGGGGGGGGGGGGGGGGCTTGATAAAAGCTGGGTTTGTTATTCATTTGGGTAGGAGTGGACCATTTCGCCTAAAACCTGTATCACAATATATCCTTCCCTTCATCATCTGGGTAATGAAATATATATTTTTGGGTGTACCCCTAAAATGCGCTCACACACCACTAGGGGTACGGGTACCCCGGTTGGGAATCACTGATCTAAACCACCAGAAGCAGCATTCAGGTGCATATTAACCCAGTATTATTACCGTTGTCACACAGAAGAACTGTGCAGTCAGCAGAGAATGGAAAGATCTGACCACAGACATTGCTAGACCCACTCTGACGCAAGCAAGCGGTAGTACTCCCTCCTCTCTTTGACAGATAGAATAAAGCATCAGCACATTTAATCAGTCATAACTCTTTGAATACTGATTTTAATGCAAGTTTTTCCTCTTCGTATTTTACAGTAGCTCTGATACAGGACTCATGTTTGGGTGTTTTTATAGTGGGTTTGGTCTGGGTACATATGGGACTCTTGTCCAAAGCTTAAATCTTAGAAGGACCAGACAATGAGAATCACAATAATTCAAAAAGGATCAGCTGTGTGAGATATATGGTAGGTATTCTGGAAAACAGATTCATATTTCAGATTTATTGGCCAAGTAAAATTACATTTACACGCAATTTAGCTTCGGTAGATGTTCGCTAAATGAGAATAAAAATACGTAAATAACACATAAGAACGTGTATACACACACACACACAAGTATATTTACATATATACATACACGCATACATACACACATATATATATGTACACACATACACATTTACACATGTATACACATATACACACACACACACACATATCCATAAGCATACTGAATAAGTATTAAAAACTATAGTAAAAGGATGGTAAAAGAATCTACAGATTCAGGAGAGACATGGCTGAAGGAAAGAAACTGTTCTTGTGTCTGGTGGTTTTTGTGTACAGTGATCTATCGCGTCTGCCAGATGGGAGGAGATGGAAGAGAGTAGATGCAGGATGTGTGGCATCTTGGACAATATTCACTGCCTTTTTCCTGGTCCTGCTGATGTACAGTTCCTGGACAGAGGGCAGCTGGGCACCAATGATTGTTCCTGCTGTTTTAATAATACGCTGTAGTCTGCATTTGTCCATTTTTGTGGCTGACCCAAACCAGACAGTGATGGATGAGCAGAGTATGGATTCGACTGCAGCAGTGTAGAAGATGATCAGCAGCTCTTGTGGTAGGCCGTACTTCCTTAGTTGCCGTAAGAAATACATCCTCTGCTGAGCCTTGTTTGTTTCCCACTTCAGATCCCTGGAAATGATAGTTCCCAAGAACTTGAATGAGTCCACCATTGACACTGGGCTGTTGGATAATGTGAGGGGGGGCAGCACCGTGGGAAGCTTCCTAAAATCCACGACCATCTCCACAGTCTTAAGGGTGTTAAGCTCAAGGTTGTGCTGACTACACCAGACCACCAGCCTCTCAACTTCTCGCTGATAAGCAGACTCATCACCATCCTGGATGAGCCCAATGACAGTGGTGTCATCTGCAAATTTCAGGATTTTTACAGCTGAGTCATTAGAGGTGCAGTCATTGGTGTACAATGAAAAGAGCAGTGGAGAAAGGACACACCCCTGTGGTGTACCGGTGCTGATCAACCTTGTGCCAGACGTAACATTGTTCAACCGCACATGCTGGCTCCTGTTTGTCAGGAAGCTGGAAATCCACTGACACATAGCGGGGGAAACAGTGAGCTGAGAGAGCTTTGAGGTGAGGATTTCTGGTATAGAGCTCCGGACCCCACGTGACTCTCAGTTAGTGGACGCCATTTTGGCATGCAAAAAAGGTAAACAAACACGGATGTAACCATGAACATGAACGGGATCCGCTTGGATTTTACTTCGTCGGAGTTTACTTCACACTTTAAAACAGAAGAAATCGTTTTATATAGTCAGAAATTAAATAGACTACACATCTCCGACCCTTACCGTGCCCCTGGGATACTTTTTAAAAACGCCAGAAGCTGTCGTAGCAGACTTCTTACCGGCACAACACCGGACCTGACCGGGGAACCCCTTGGGATTTACCCGGAGGAGCTGGCTCCGGCGGCTGGGGAGAGGGAAGTCACGCTACTGCCCCCGCAACCCGACTCCGGATACGCGGATGAAAATGGATGGATGGACGGACAAATAACAGATTTACACGTAAGTAGTCTCGGTGAGACAGATAATAGCAATCCAAAGTGCTTTTTATGTGTGATCTGACAATTGATCAACCATTGCTTATAAGTTAAATACAGCTTAGCCGGTTAATTGCTGTCATCATAAAACACGGAAACGGCAGCACGCAGAAGATGTTTACTTGTTGCTATGAGTAATGAGACGGAAAAAGCCACGCCAAAATAAGTTTAGGAAGCCCACTAAGAATCGTAATAAAAGCATTTAAAATAAATACCATACACAGTTGAGGAAACATTGGTTTAAGTACCTGATATGAAGCGGTCGCTGCATAAGCAAAATCCTTTACTCTCGGGATCCCACAGCTTCATTTTCGCCCGGTCACTAGCGCGTTTTATTACAATGATCCAACGTTTGCGGCGCTCCGGATCTTGGGGAATCCTGTAGATGGCTCATTCCTTATGTCGTCCGCGTCTGTTCTGCATCCTGGGGCACAACAGGAATCTACCATATTTCCCGTTTGATTGAGTTTTCTGACAATAACAAATAGTCCAGCTGCCGGCTTCTGCCTGCCAATATGGCGCCGTTTCGATTTGAACTGTTGCATGCCGGGAGAAGTGACGTCAACTCCCGGAGCTCTATAACGGTGTTAAAAGCAGAGCTAAAATCCACAAACAATATCCTTGCATAGGTCCTTGGTTGATCAAGATGTTCCAGGATGAAGTGCAGCCCCATGTTAATTGCATCATCCACTGACCTGTTTGCCCTATATGCAAACTGCAGGGGATCCAGCTGGTGGCCTGTGGTGCTTTTAAGATGGGACAGCACCAAGCGCTCAAAGGACTTCATGACTACTGATGTCAAAGCCACAGGTTTGTAGTCATTCAATTCGGTAGGGGAGGATTTCTTCGGTACTGGTATGATAGTGGAGCTTTTGAAGCATGATGGAACCTCACACAGCTCCAGTGATCTGTTGAATATCGTTGTGAAGACAGGTGCTAGTTGGACAGCACAGGTCCTGAGGCAGGAAGGAGTTACTCCATTTGGGCCTGGTGCCTTCCGTACGTTCTGTCTCCTAAAGATATTGCAGACATCCTCTTCATTCACAAGGAATGTAGCTTGTGATTTAGAGGAAAGAGGAGTAAGAGTGTTCAGGTGAGGGGTGGCGGCTGCAGCTATGCTGGAGTGGAGGAGGGGTGTGACATTCCTTTCCTCAAAGCGACAGTAAAAGCCATTTAGCTCCTCAGCAAGGCCATGATTAACATCAGAAATGAAAGATGGTCTCCTGTAATTGGTAATGTGCTGAATGAGTGCGTTTACATGCAGCCAGTAACCCCTTTAAAACCCGAATATTCACAATAACCCGGTTCCGCAGGTCCATGTAAACACCGCCAAAACCCGGATATGCTCATAACCGGGTTTTTAAAAACCCGGTTACTACACCTGGGGTAACCCTTTTCTAACCCGAATGTTTGGTCGTGTAAACGCATACTGGGATATCCCCATCAAAGCGTGTGTTCTGCGCATGCTCTGTTCGCAAGGAATCTTGGTCTTTTGAGTAGCGAGACGTCTTGTATACGCCAGAACACCGGAAGTAAACAACAAGTTGGGAGCAAAATGGTGAGTCGCGGCACAGCACCACACTTTTGGAGTGACGAAGAAACTAAAGCACAAACAAACGCGGTCGCTATCTCTTCCGAACTGGGAAACATGTTGTTGTTTTCACGGATACCAGAACAAGAAGAACCGGAAATTACGCATATTGCGTCTGGACGTAGTCCACACGTCTTGACGCTACCCCAACGTCTGCATTTAAATCGGGTTATGCAAGTTAGGGGTAACTCTTTCTATTTATGCTTGTAAACGGGTTATTCTGATTAACTCAGAAACCCGACTACCGACCTTAACTCGATCATAACCCGGAAATTGGCTGCATGCAAACGTAGCAGCTCTGATCTTCTTAAGCCGGGCGTACACTGTGCGACTTTTTCACCCATAGCACTCAGCTTCAGCTCAAACTGTACGACTTCCTCGCAGGGCAGATCTCACGAGTCGTGTGCTCACACTGTACGACCCAGTTCTTGGATGCGACCTGACTTCTCACACTGTACGTCTGGTAGCAACACGTCAGACGTAAAAATAAGCTAAAAATAGCAGTTTTTACACAACACGTCAGGCTTTTTTGTCTTGTTTTGCCTGTTGTCCTTCGGGAGTGCTGCAGGAGGACACACAGGGATTTATGGGGGTTGGATGAGGAAAACGAAATAAAGAAAGTAAATCTGTGTTTTGTGATCAGTTTAATTTGACAAAAACACGACAAACACGCTTTCTTGACAATCTTTGAGAGTAAAAAAAACGTGTAGAAATAAAAAAGAACAACGTGTGTTATTAGGGAAATAGCGGGCGAGCGGTGTTGATGCAGGATTGCGCATGCGCCGTGAGCGGTTCTGATACTTTTTGGGTCACAGCTGCTCGCAGCGCCGCTTCAACAGTGCAATACCCTCACGAGGGACGAGCAAAATATTAAACACGCCAGAAGTCAGTGCAAGCTCACGATTGCTGATCTGTAGCTGGTCACGTGGTGTTAATCGCCTCTCGTAACTAGGGTTGTCACGGTAACCGGTATAGCGGTAAACCCCGGTAAAAAAGTTGACAATAAAAATAACCGTCCAGTGAAGATGGTTGGCTAGAAGACGTGTTTTCACTGTGCTCCCGCTCCCACCTGTATTTTTTACAGTGTTATGCG